CCTCACCCCCTCCTCACCTCATCAGGTGGATTTTTCACCTTCTGCATGTATCTTCGAACCACATCCTCGGGATTCTTACCTGCAAGGACACAGCGGGGTGGGTTTGAGGGTACCCAGAGTCTGTCCCTGAAGGCTTGGCTCAGAACTGGGTCAGGGGTCAGAGGGCAGGGGTCAGGGTGGAAAGGGTTGGTCAGGGTCAGAAGTCAGGGGTTTCTGGAGGTTAGCTGGAACAGGAACTGGTGAAAGATGGGGCCAGGCAAAGGGAGCTGAGATCAGGCAATGGAGGTGAGGTCGTAAATGCTAAGAATAAGTCGGAGACCAGAGGTCACACAGTTGTGGTCAAGGCTTAGTGGGGTTCATCTCGTGTGAGGCAGGGGGCGGAGGGCGTACTCTTTTTAAGGTGCTTCTTCTTGGTCTTGCGGCACACCCCGGGCACGCCGGGCACGGGCTTCACGTCGCTCTTGCTCACTGGCGGCGGGTGCAGGATGGGCTTGGGGGCCCGCGTCAGGCACACGGGCAGCCCGGCCGCGCACAGCAGTATCCCGGTCATCCCTAGGGGTCGGGGGGCGCAGTCAGAGGGCGGGGCGCCATCCTCGCCCAGACCCCCGACCATTGGCCCTGGGAATCCCGGGGCCCTTCTGTGGATGGGAGGGTTGCACTCTTGGGCCACACCCACTCAGCCCCTTGAAGGCCCCTGAAGGGCCTTCTGCGGGCCACGCCCACCCCGTGTCCTGGGCCCAGTGGAAGGGGCGTTTCCTCTGGGCCACGCCCGCCGGCCCATCTCGGGGGCGGGGTCACCGGGTGACAGGGGGGCTGCCTCCTAGTGGGCCCCGCCCTTCTTTCCCGCCCCGGGCCAGACCTCACCTGCCAGGGCCGGATGGACTGGCCCAGTACCATTCAAATTCTTCACCGGGAGCGCGGGGACCCTGCGGGGAGAAGAGGAGACGCCGCTGCTGGACTCCAGCCCCCGACACCACGTCAGGGGACCTGGCTTGCCTTCTGTCTCTGGCTCCTGGACACACACCCTGGCCTCTTTGTACCTCTCTCTGCCAACTGCAGTGACCTCCAGGAAACTCTCTTTCTACTCTGACACCCTATAATGGGGCGGGGGTGGCCAGGACCTCGGCCCAGGTTCCAGTGGGATGCACCCTTAAGACTTTAGTGCAGACCCCTCCTTACCCTACAGCCGGCTCCTCCCTCGAGAGGGCGCTTTGGCTCTGAGAGCTCCTTTCATTGGCCGCTGTGCCTGAAACCCAACTACTAGTGTTGTAACTATTTTAGCATCTCTCAAAACTTGTTAGATGTAGCATTATTAATCTCCATAAAATGTTCCAGGAAAGAAGGATTCAGGAATCAAGTAAGTTAGGAACACGTCACTGTCTCCCTCTCTGAAATTCACAACATATCTGAGCATATTAAAGGCTCTGACAAGCCCTGCATAAGAACATATCATTAACAATGATAAATTCAGGTTTTCAAAAGCATTTGGTGATGACTTTTTTTTTTCTCTTCTGGAATATTTACTGATGCCAGTTTCCGTGACAAGGTACTATCCTCTCTTCAAATGAAGAGCCCCTAGGAAAAGGTATCCTGACTCTTCCCCTGGCCCTCAAAAGAGCTTTGGCTGTTGGAGTCAGTCAGAGCTGCTTTCATATCTCAGTGCAACCACTAATGAGTTGGGCGCCACACAGCATGTCAATCTCATCTCTTGTAAGGGGTGGTCTGTAAAATGGGGATAATATGGTACCTTTTTTTTTTTTTTGACTGCTGTGAGAATTCCGTGAAATTATATGTGTCAAGGGCCAAGCACAGTTCCTGGTACCTAACAGATACTAAAAGCACAGCCATTGGTATCATCACTGTCAGCTGTGCAATCCTGGCCGAGTAATTTCACCTGTCTGCCTCTCAGGCACTAAGTCCTGGTGTAACTTCTCTCCATCTTAGAGAGGAAACCACAAAACTGCTGTAGTGACAACATTGAACAAGTCATTTAACTTCTTGATCCTCAGTTACCTTATCTGTAACACAGGCATATTAACCCCTCACTTATAGAGTCGTTGGGAGGACTAAAGGAGAGCTTGCGGTGATGTGTACGGTGTGTCTGCCTGAGTCCTCCTGGCTTCAGCACTTGTTTATGCAGGGAAACTGGTGTCTTGCTGTTGATGGGCATGGAACCCTGGCTGGATACGTTCTGATGAAGAGGGGTGTTCTGAAATCCAGGGGGCAGCCTGAAGGCCTTGGGGGATGTGCCATGAGAGGGGACAGGAAGGGCTGGGAGCAGTGACAGCTGGAGAAGGAGCTGCAGCAGCCGCCTTGGCTCTTGACATGCCTGTTCAGGTCACAGCCTGTCCAATGCTGTCTGGTCACCTGTCCTTGGCAGGCACAGTTGGCACCAGAAAGCATCTTCAAGCAAATGGTGCCCTTGGCAGGCTTGGGTACTGCTGCAGTGGGTGCAGACACACAGACATATACACCCAGGGCACACACCATCCACACAGATCCACAGATCCAGATATACACACAGACGTGGAGAAGATCACACAGACTTATCATACCCCCCGGGACACATTACACACACATGTTTAAGTACACAGACACACAAACACACACAACCCAGGACGTATACCACAGATACATGCACACACACAGACACACATATCAGGGAGCCTCCCTCCCCATCTGTCTACTTGGGGAATGCACTGCACACACCAGGGAATGCACACCCTGCACACATACATGGACACACACAGGCACACTTCAGGGCACACCCCCCACGAACATACATGGATTAAGATACACACACACTCACATATTCCAGGGAACACCTCCCCACATGAGTCTACAGAGACTCATGCACACATGGGGACATACAAATACACACAGAAGCACACACAGCTCTCCCCTGGAAGGACACTCCACGGACAAGAGAGGGGGCTCATGTAGACCAGTACTGCACCTGTCACTGCCGCCCCTCTCCCCAGCTGCACAGAGCTGGGTAAAGTGGGCAGCAAACCCAGAGTTTGGTGCGCTCAGCCCTCACACGCACCCGGCACGCTGCAGCCTGCAGAACGGCCTGCCATCCACACACAGACACATGATTCCGCACTGCCTGTGGGGAAGTACTCATGCGTACTGATTCACATCATGCATGGGGGCGCGGGAGGACACGCTGACTCACTGCACGCGAGGACACACGCGCACATGCTCTCACCCACACCTCCCGACACTGACACACACTCAGCCTGGGAGGCCCACACCCGTACACACGCAGATGCACAGTCACACATGCACACAGGTACAGCGCACACGCCCCCACTCAGTGGCTGCTCAGCTATACTGGCTAGTATCATGTGGCCAGGACTCCCATCCCAGACCCCTCTGAGGGCTGTGGAGAGGTCTGGAGCAGACATCTGGATCGAGCCCCTTGAGGAGGTGTGGCGTGACTGAAGTCAATGAACACAGCTCCTGAGGGAGGCAGGATGGGATGGCAGGTACCCTGGGTCCCCCAGGACCCGGTCAGTGGAGGTGGGAAGAAAGCACTGTGCCTCGGTTTCCCCATCTGTAATGGATATAGAATCCTGTGAAGGTTAAGTGTGTTAAAACATGTAAAGCTCATCATTTGGCACAGGGATGAGAGTGAAGGTGTCTTGATTTTCTTGTCGGGCACCCTGCGGCGGGGTGCCCATGAAAAGGGGTGCTGAGTATTCATTTGACCCTTTTCAGGGTCTGTCATAATCCTCCAGGAGCTTCCTGAGGTGGGCAGCTCTCACCACTCTAACTTCCTCCCTCCCCATACTTTTACAGGAATGCATAGAGGTATTTCCCTCAAGCTTCTCCTCTTCCCTGCCCATTCTTCAAGCACCTCTAGTGTGGACACACCAGTTAAGTCTAGGTCTCTCTCACACCTCTTTCTTCCTTTCTGTCTCACAAGAAGAAAGTATCTCTTTTTTTTCTCCAGAGCTACCCATAAAATGGGTGGAAAGAAAAATATTTAGCATGCATACCACCACTGGTTGGTCTCCTACCTGTGGCAGACATCACTAATCCATCACAGCACTCTCTCAAGCTTAGCAGAGTCCTCAGTACAGCTCTCCAGGCAGCCTCTATAAATCAGTAAAGCCAGTTTGCTACCCCAGGTCTATATAATGCCCAAAGTCTGGCCCAGTGGGTAACCCTGCTCTTGCTGAATGTTTGGCCTAGGAGTTAGACAGAGGGTACTCCAGGAAAGGAAGGATTTAGATCTCAGCTGCCCTAAAATTTCTGGAGCCCTTTAAACACCACATAGCCCTACATTACAAAAGTCAGTCTTGCTCCTGGGAAGAGGACTGTGAGGGGGGTGTCATGGTGGGGCTGTTATTTATTTACCCATCAGTGAGCTTGGGGGACAGTCCCGAGGTAGTCGCCAGCCTCTCTCTATCTGCAGGCCTCCTGCGAGAACCCAGGGTAGCAGAGTTCCCACGAACCCTGAGCGTGGGAGCCGCCCGGCCCCCTTTTGATGTGGGACATGCTGTTTCCTCCGAGTCAGTGAGAACATCCTCCCGCCTGGACAAGCGACCGCTGCTCCCGGAAGGGGAGCCAGCCTTCACCCCTAGCTCTGCCTTTTTGTGGGCTCAGCCTGGCACAGGACCTGAGGAGTCCCTCAGGCCCTCCCCAAAATCTGCTCTGACCAGAAGGCAGGTCTGGGCTCCACCGCCATGCAAGCCCCTATGCCTTTCCCAGCCCCGAATCAGATCCTGTCTGTCCTCTGCTCTCACTCTCCCTGCAGCTCCCACTTTGCTCATGGTAATACCTGGCCTCCTGATCTGGCCCCCATCTACCCTCTGAACCTCATTTCCTGTGTGTTCACCCCTCTCCCACCCTACTCGAGCCACCCTGGTCTCTCTGCTCTTTCTCAAGCATGCCAGGCACATTCCCACCCCTTTGCTGTCTGGTCTTTGCACTTGCTGACCCTTTCCCGAGGTGCTCTTCCCAGATATCCTCATGGCGCACTTCGTCACTTAGCAGAGGTCTCTGCTCAAATGTCAGCTTATCTGAGACACCTTCCCAACCACTTTATTTAGTTATTTATTTATAGACAAGATCTTGCTCTGTTGCCCTGGCTAGAGTGCAATGGCTTAACCATTGCTTACTGCAGTCTTGAACTCCTGGGCTCAGCGATCTTCCCACCTCAGCCTCTTGAGTAGCTGGGACTACTGGCACACACCACCACACCCAGCTTAAACAACAACAACAACAACAACAACAACAACAACAACAACAAACCTTTTGTGGAGACAGGGCCTCACTATGTCGCCCAGGCTGGTCTGGACTTGAACTCCTGGGCTCAAGTAGTCCTCCCTCCTCGACCTCCCAAAGTGCTGGGTTTACAGGCATAAGCCACTGTGCCTGGCCCCAACCACTTTAATTAATTAATTAATTAATTAATTAATTTGAGATGGAGTCTCACTCTGTCTCCCAGGCTGGAGTGCAGTGGCATGATCTTAGCTCACTGCAAGCTCTACCTCCCAGGTTCATGCCATTCTCCTGCCTCAGCCTCCCGAGTAGCTGGGACTACAGGCGCCCGCCACCATGCCCGGCTAATTTTTTTTGTATTTTTAGTAGAGACGGGGTTTCACAGTGTTAGCCAGGATGGTCTCGATTTCCTGACCTCGTGATCCGCCTGCCTTGGCCTCCCAAAGTTCTGGGATTACAGGTGTGAGCCACTGCGCCTGGCCCAACCACTTTATTTTTAAAAAGCCCATCTTTGTCCTTACCTTACTTAGTTTTTTTTTGTTTTTTTTTTTTTCATAGCACTACTCATAACCTGACATTATAAAGTCTTTTTTTTTTAAATTTATTATACTTTATGTTCTAAGGTACATGTTTGTTACATATGTATACATGTGCCATGTTGGTGTGCTGCACCCATTAACTCGTCATTTACGTTAGGTATATCTCCTAATGCTATGCCTCTTTAAGCATGACCTGGCCCTGTGTGATCTGGTCCACCCCTGCCTCTTCTGCCAGACAAAGTTAGAGCAGGAATGTCAAATATATGAGTGCATACCACTACTGTCCTCCTAGCACCCACGGCAGGCATTACTAATCAATTCCAGCATGCCTTACCACTAAGCCAAGATGCAACTTCAGAATCCTCCTCAACACAGTGCTTTGGGAAGTCACTGCCACTGGAGCAGAGATGGCACATGTGATGAACTCTATTTGTCATTTATTTTGCAGATGATGGGACTGAAGTCCAGAGAAGGGAAATGACTTCACTAAGGTCATCCAGCTGGTCTGTGGTGCAGCTTGCACCGGGTCCTGGAGTTTCCGAGTCAGGGGCCAGGGATGACCCCACCAGGTTGGTCTGTGGAGCCATCTGGAATTGAGCCAGCCTTGAGAGCCCTCTGTGCTCTCTGGGCTGAAGTCTTTGACCTGGATCCTGGAACTGGCTCAGGCCTGGGCAGGGTAGACCAGGGCTGTCTAAGTGGATGCACTGGCCTGCTTTGGTCACCTCTCTCTGTCCCAGGACCCCGGAACGCAGGAGACCACACTGACAACTGGCCCTCCCTTTAGGGCAGCCAAGTCCTCTCCCTCCAAAGTCTGGTCTCCTTATCTCTCCCCTCCCACCCCCAGCAGGCCTAGACTTGTTACTTTCTCTGATGATAGTTTCCAGGCCCCCCACTGGCCTTGGCCCCCTTCAGGATACCTCACACTTATCCAGCAGCCCCCAAAGAGCCCCAGGAGGCTCATGACTCAGTCATTTGGGTCCAAGTGGGTGAGGAAGGGGCAGAAGTGAGGATGTTGCATTATGGGGAGAAGGGAGTTGAACGGTGCTTTGGGGACCCCCCAGCCTCCCCTTTTCTCCTTTCTAGGGGTGTGAGCCTGTCACCTTTCCCCACTTTTAGGGCTGTCTCTGCCTTGTAGCTGCGTCTACGCTCCTCCCCCCATAGTCCTGGAGAACACAGCCTGGGGCCAAGTCCCCGCCGCCACCCCCACTGCAGAGACTTGAAGGACGTCACCGCAAGCCCAGTACCCATGGAGTCCTCCTCAGCCTCTGTCTGGGGTCCTCACTTCCCCTTTCCTTACCCCAGCACCTCTGTCTTCCTAGACAAACCTCTGAGCTTCTCTGGGCTTCAGTGTCCCCTCTGTGAAATGGGACCCCTTACCTCTGTCCCTATCCATCTTCTAGAGATTAAAGGAAGTAAAAGTCCCCTCAGGAGACATTTTGAGGGGTGAGTGGTATTGGAGGCTCAGATTTATCTAGAGGTATGGGGGCTGTGGGGGTCACTCTTTTCCACCCTCCTGGTCCTCCCGCCTGCCCAGCTCTCTGTGGGGGAAGGAACGTGGAGGAGATGGTTGGGGGCAGGGAGGACCGGTCAGGTAGGGGAGGGGAGGGCAGGACCAGCTGTTCCCATGCCCCGGGGCAGCCACGTGCAGACAGGAGTGTGTGTGGTTTGGT